AGGACTCCCTTACTTATCTCTTGTGCACAAGCCTTGATTCCTGGGAGCAGTAACTGCCGAGCAGAATGTACCCTGATAAGAAGAAGGAGCAAGGAGGCTGTTTTCTTTTTAAATAATATCTTGTTGTGTTTTGGGAGAACGTTTACACAGCAAATTAGGTTCCCATTTGACAAGTTCTATACAAAGTGTCCACTTTTCACAATGTGTCAACATTCTCTTTAACCACATTTTGGTTGTCCTGCTGAGCAAGGGGGAATTTTGATAACTTACTTATAAGCAGTCTGTGGTAGATGGGGTGGAAAAAGTGGAAAGAAAGTTCCTATAAAAAAGCCATTGCTTGAGGTTTTATAAACACAACACTAAAATTTAACACGACGAGTCTTTCTTCCAAAGGACAGTAATATCCAGATAACAAAGGGGAGACATTTCCAATCTCCTTCCCTTTAGAAGGGTAGGTCACAAAGTGTGGTTCCCAGGTGAACAGCATTAGCATCACCTGGCAACTTGTTAGAAATGGAAATAACTGGGGCTCAACTCAAACGTGCTGAATCAGAAATGGAGTGGGGATGGGGGTGGGAGTGCAATCTGTGTTTTACCAGGCCCTCCCCACTGATTCTGTTCCCCTAGACCAGGAGCCTGCAAACTGTGTCCTACAGGCCAAATCTAGCCCACTGTCTGTAAGTCAAGTTTTGCCGGGACACAGCCCACTCATCTGTTTATGAGCTGGTGATCTGCTTCCACACCATCCGCCACTGAAAACTCTAGGGAGCCCAGTTCTACTCTGATCCACACAAGGTCACCCTGAGTCAGAGCTGACACTACGGCAGCTGCTTCCACGGCTGCTTTCATGCTACCACGGCAGAGCTGAGTAGTTGCAACAGAGACCCTGTGGCTGCAAAGGCTAACATCTTCACTATCTGGCCATTTACAGAAAAAGTTTGTTGGCCTCTGTTCTAACCTAGACAATGTTTTTCAAAATACTGGTTTTACCCATCAGTGTGTAAAACCCCATAGTTTCAACTCACTCTCATTTTCTTTATCATTCTCTCTACTAAATAAACGGGATCACATCTGTCTCTTGTGCCTCTGCCCCTGGGAACTTCCCTGACAGTGACTCTAGGTGACTTGACTCTCCCACACCCATGTTTTGCCACTGGATTCACTGCATGCTAGACAAGAGATGATAAGCAAAGCTTACTCTGCATGAATGATAAGAGATGCCCATTTCTAAACTCACATCCTGAATCAGAGTTTGCCTTCTTGAAATTAACATCTTTCATAAACTGGATATCTAAGTGCTCAGAGTAGAGGCAGAAAAGAATGGAGAACTCCTTTTCATGTAATGCAAGAAAGGCCACATGATCTTTCCAAGACCTTTATTAGGTGATCACTACTGAAAGGCACTGCTAGTGTAATTAATGTAATGCAGTGTAAAATATAATGTGAAATAACCAAATGCCAGCTTTAGCATCCTGTTCCATATAAAGGTCTGTCTTACAGATGCATGCTAGGAAAACGAGATTTCTCTTCTACCCACTGCTCAGACAATTAATCAAACTGTTAGATATATCAAAAGCTACTACAATTTAGAAAAATGAATCCAAAAAGTATGGTGTTCATTAGCAACGGTAGAGAATTACCATCTCTATCTAAAGGGTTAGGAGCTCTGGTGGCGTAGTGCCTAAGCCATTTGACTGCTAACTAGCTTGGCAGCTCAAACCCACCAGCCACTCCACAGGAGGATGACTGGGCAATCTACTTCCATAGAGACACCACCTTGGAAATGCAAGGAGGGATCGCTATGAGTCGGATCTGACTCGATGGCAGTGAGTTTTTTGTATCTAAAGGTTAAAGCAAAAACAGGAAATACAGGACATAACTGAAAATATGTTATATGAATATAACATATTCATATGGTTCAACAATTTGGTGATAATTCTAATAGTCAGGCTTGCACAAACTATCAGCCAAGCTAAAAATAAACCAAACCCACCAAACCCACCACCATCGAGTTGATTCTGACTCATAGTGATCCCCACTGAGTTTCCAAGGAGGTAAATCTTGATAGAAGTAGACTGCCTCATCTACCTTCCATTAAGTGGCTGGTGGGTTTGAACCACCAACTTTCTAGTTAGCAGTCAAATGCCTTAGGCACTGTTCCACCAGAGCTCCTTAAATGAAAAACAAAGGCTTACAATTTAGCAGGGTTTTCCTCCTTCTGTAGAATGATTCTAAACGTCCTCTCAAATAAAATACTCTGAGACATGAAATATTCTTCTTGTTCAAATATTTAATAACTGATTTGCTCTTTTACTAGTTATAAACTCTTCAAGCTAGTAGGATTTAATTTCTTTAACTCTTCCGCCACAGTCCCAGAACTTTACCCTTAGTCATTTTTACCTCACTCAGATGTGGCTTAGAAGAACGGGAAAGAAAGAAACCGGTATTCTATACGTACATAAAATGATGTTACATCCATATATAAACTATGATGGATGAGTTTCTGTCCCCTCTCCAAGAGACATGAGATAACTCCCTTCTTGGGAGTTCTGACTCCTCCTCAAGACAGATATTCTGACAGATTCTAAAAAAACATATTTTCCATATACTTCATAGTTCAGTGAAACTAAACCAGTATAATCCTCAGTGAAAAATGAAATCCACACAAGAATAGCAGGACTCCAAATTCTCAAAGGAATGTGAGCTGCTGGAAGCTAATCAAAAGAACTGGAGGAACTTAAAAATGAAGCAGTATCTAAAAGTGAAAGTCAGCAAAACTGTCTCTCCTGCCTCAAAGCTTCAATGTCCTGCCATCATCCATTTTTTGCATTCAACATTTCAAGGGCTAGATACATGATTTAAAAGGGACCAAATTTCTAGATTTGTTAGAGCCACAGATGACACATTAGGGAAATAAGGCGAAATAGTGATGTCTCCAAGGACCTCTGGTGGCGTAGTACCTAAGGCATTTGACTACTAACCAGAAGGTTGGTGGTTCACACCCATCAGCCACTCTGTGGAAGGAAGACTGGGCAATCTGCTTCGGTAAAGATTTACCGCCTCGGAAACCCAAAGGGGGTCGCTATGAGTCAGAATCAACTCGATAGCAGTGGGTTTGGTTTGGTTTTTGTTTGAGTGACATCTCCATTATTCATCATCTGGTAATGTAGCATTTACAGTCCTCTGAACAACAGGGAGTTGAGAAGTTTAAAATACTTCAAGAAGTTTATCCAGATTTAAAAACCAAAACTAAAACCAAACCAAACAAAAAAACAAAAGATACATATTATAAATACCTGCAATTGTGATAATGCAAACTGGCTTCAGTTATTGCAAAGATTTTCTGAATGAGGATATTTCTATGTGACAGAGGGCAGTGTGGTGAAAGAAGTGAGATGCTATATTCCATAGTTTCCAGATGTGGAAGTCTAGCATCATCTCCAGCAGAGACGACCTAAAGCACTATTTCACAAATGCCTATACCTTTAATTGCTCAGTTACAATGAGTTAGTAAAATATACAGAGTGCACTGTCACAGACAAAGATGATCAAGTGATAAAATAGGTTGAAATGACAGGGTATATCTGGAAAGTAGCTGAAAACAGTATAATGATATATATTTTTTTTTTGCTGGCCTCCCCCTTGCTGTATATTGTCTTATTAAGAGCAAAAAAAAAAAAAAAACTTTGGGAAAGTCCAGCTTAACCTTTGAGTAAATATTAATTTTGCACAAGCTAATGTAAACTACGTACATTTTTAAAAGAAAAGACGCAAATGCCATAAGATCAAGCTGATAGAAGATATTCCTACCAGCAAGCAAATATCAGAGCAGATCAAAGAATCAGTACAGAGTTAGCTTTAAAACCTATTGCAGTGATGGTCATGGATTCTAATGACTATTGAGAGTCGGTAAGAAAAATTGAACTCTTTACAGTTTGACTTTTTTGTGAAGTCATTCTTTCTCTGTAATTGGGGCCATACTGATATGCTAGTCTAATATACTTATGTAGGTCCCTCACATATATACTAAATAAAGAGTTCCTGTCACTTAATAGATAGACAGTGGGTAGGGAATAAATATTTCAACAGTGTGTAAGTTCCACAACAGTAAGGGCTTTTGTGTTGACAGTCATTCTCATAAAACAGTGCCTCCAAAAACAAACTCAGGGTTATCAAGTCTATGCTAACTCACAGCAACCCTGAATCAACCCTATTGGACAGTGTGGAACTGCCCCAAAGAGTTCCCTATGGAGCACATGGTGGATATGAACTGCCGACTTTTCAGTTAGCAGTCAAATGCTTTAACCACTATGTCACCAGGGCTCCTTTAGCAAATGATAGGCAATAAACATTGTTGAGTAAGTGTCAATCCAGAATACTATCTAACTTATGACAATTTCTTCCAAGAAGAACTTAAAAGCTATTTATTCCTTAAAAAAATGATACATCACAAAGTACTGTTGTGTGTTTATGTATACCAGTGGAAGAAAGACAGGGAGGTCTGCTTCTGTAAAGATTTGCAGCCTTGGAAATCCAATAGGGGTCATTATGTGTTGGACTCAACTTGATGGCAGAGTTTTTTTTCTCATTTTATGTACACCAAGTCTATGAAGGCAAGAAAGTAATGCATTTAGCTATAAAGATGTCTAAAATGCTAGCATTCAGGTATCTGGGAATCAGACAGGCTAGGAGGTTAATTAATTAAGGTCATATGGTAGAAAAGATAAATACTACAAAAGAAGAGACTTTTGTAGAGAAACATTCAAATTAAAGATAGAATGCCAAGCACTGGTTCAGCATCACCTTCCAGCAAAGCCACTGTTATGGCACCAGAATGGTCCTTGAGAATGCATTCTACATGAACCATCCAAGCCAGGGTCATGGTAGTACAATTAAAAAAAAAAAAAAAAAAAAATTAAAAATTCCTATGTTTCTTATTGACCTTAATTTTTAAAAAACAAAACAAAAAATCCCAACAGATGGATGGTATCTTAAATTACCTGGTGCCGGGCTCGACTGTGGTCTAGAAGCTGCCGGGATTGATGTTTTTGTTGTTCGAGCTGCTGCAGGGCAAGATGGAGTTGGTAACTGCCCGCAGTGGGGGAATACTTGTGCTGGGGGATCACCCCTGTTGCCTTGCTGTATGCGTTGTTCTCTACCTCTCCCTCCCAGGCAAAGCCACCTGTCTGGAGGTTCCTGAAGAGAAAAGAAAGCAGACTTTTTAGTGTGACTGTGAAGACAATCTGAAGGAAAGGAGAGAAATGTCTTAGGTCTTTTTCCCTGACAGAACTAAACATAGTTTGGAGTTATGAATCTATCTGCATGAAAAATGATCTGACTCCCCAACTACACTGTAAGCTCTTCAAAGACAAAGTCATGGTCTGCTTTGTTCTACGCTCTGTTCCTAGCACTCATCATAAGACCTGGCACATGGTCAGTATACAATAAATATTTTTGAATGTTAAATGTTGAAAGAGCATTTTCACTACCCTGTGATTTACACAAGGATCTCCAAGAGGAGCCCAAAGAGCTTCAAATGAAAGATAATAGGCTAATTTAAGGTAGAAACAGAGGCACAACCATCTTAAATATCAACTTCAAAAGGAGAGAATACACAGTATTCTTGTTTTTTCTTAAATATTGTTTTATTTAAGAAAAAAAAAATGTTTTTTAGATACCTGTGAGTGAAGTATCTAAATCTTTTTTAGAAGCTATTTATATTTGAGCTTATGTCCCCATCATGGGATAATGTAACTGGTGTGAGAAGACACCTCCCTTCATTACCCTAAACTGATCTCTACAGGATCTCAGGTCAGGCTGACGTTCAGTCACACGCATGAGGAAGGCAAAGGGCCAGTGGCCTCTTTGATTGGTCAGTACTTACTCTATGCATCTGTTAAATAGCTTGACGATGTTCCCAGACCAAACTTTTAAATTCCAGATTCTGATGACCATGTCTGTGTACATCCAAGTTGAATTCTTCACAACTACAGGCTCCTTATATGTCCCCTCTCAGTCCACTTTTTCCAGTAGAAAAGTATCCTTTTTTTTTTTTTTACAGAACAATCTTATTTGACAGTCTTTCTCTCTCCTTAACACTTCTGATTATACTCACTCCTCAGTTATCGATGTGTTAAGGCCAAGGACCAGGTCATCATTATTTGGAAGTTGGCATTATGTGCAAGAGGGAGCTCTGGTGGCGTAGTGCCTAAGGCACTTGACTGCTAACCAGAAGGTTGGTGGTTCAAACCCATCAGCCACTCCTCGGAAGGAAGGTTGGCAATCTACTCCCGTAGTGATACTGCCTCAGAAACCCAAGGAGGAGTTGCTATGAGTTGGAGACAACTTGACGGCACATAACAACAACAACAACATGTGAAAATGGAGGGTGACCACATGAGATCACAAAATGGAGGATGACAACATCAGAATAAAACTGCCAAACTGAATAATTATATAATTTCCAAACTTCATCATTACATCACTGCCAGACCTCTGACACGTTAACTGCCAAGCTGACACATAACCTTAACCATTATAGCCAGTGTTACTCTCACATTGCACCTCAGTGTTTGCTACTGCCAGGCATACGTCATTAACATGCAAATTAGCTGGACAGTAGATTTTTTACAATTGTCATACATACAAAATGTTAGATAATGAGATAGCTGACAAGTGAGGAGGAGATATGTTCTTCTCTGGACTTTAACTACCCATTTAGGTCCCCCCCCCTTTTTTGTACACCCTCATTAATAGGGCTTAGACAAATGAAACTACCTAATGTAAGAGAAATATTCATAGTGATTTAAGTCATTGGGCTATTCTTCTTTCCTTTATAAATTCCCTTGGGAGAGACTGGTCAGTCCAATGGCAGAGAGGCAGCAGCACTGGGAGGAGGTTATGCAGACCTTCCTGAGTCCTCGTGCAGGCTACGTGGTTATTTATAACCTGGGTCTTGGTGACTTGAACAGAGGAGTATGGGAGGGAACAGAGTGGAATAAGTGCCAGTCAAGAAGTCCATGTTCCTCTCTTGCCTGTGACCAGCCACCTTCACAATTTGATCATTTCAGGTCTCTGGTTTGCTTTTCCCTATCTATTCCTATCTATTGCAAAAAAAAAAAAAAAAAAAAAA